ATTGAAAATAATACCCCATTTGAAAAGAATGATCAAACATGATGAATGAATGAATGCAAACGAAATGTTGATGATTGGGTGTCTGATCAATGATCTTTTCATTATTTCTAACGTTGTTGTCCGGTTTTATTAAAGGAATTTTCTTCTTTTTAATATCCAAAAAAAAGTTTTTCATTTTTTGTTTGTCTTTTTAATCCTTGAATAGTTTTCATTTCGTTTTTGTTTGTCCTTTTTTTCAATTCATTGTTTTCATATAAACATAGAATTTCTTTTTTTTTGTTGAAAATATTAATAGTTTTTATGTAAATTTTTTTGTTTTGGTTGGATATTTAAGAAACATAGAAAAATGATAATGATGATGATGATAATGATCCTGGATCTTTTTCAAATGACATATGTTTATGTGTGGGGAATATTTTGATGATAATGATCATTATTGTGGTAGTTTTTGTTGTTGTTGTTGTTGGGATTCCTGTTGTTCCTAAAGGATGTTGGAGCCAAACCAAACGAAAAAAAAATGCAAATTCAGATAATATCTTTGTGTGTGTGGATATAGTCAAAACTAATGATGATTTTTCTGGTTTGGTTTGGTTTTTTTGCCGACCGACAAAACCAAATGAACCATAATGATGATAAAAAAAACAAAACAACAATAAAGGTTTTTTTTGCATTCACAATATTCTCTTTTCGTCCAGTTCTTTCAATTCTTTAATTCAAAAATCAAATTCTTGTTTTATTCTTTGTTTGTTTTTTTTGTTGTTGTTGTTCATTTTCGATTCTTTGATTCACTCACTCTAACTAAAAGAATGATGATTATTTCGAATAGTCAGCAGAATTTTTTTCTTCTGAAAAAAATATTTATTTTGTTTGTTTTGGAGTCAATTTAATCACCCAATTCCAATGATGATGGTGATCATTGCGCATCGATATTTTCCATTATTCAATTGGTTTTCATTATCTATGTATGGAATATTCTCTACAGCCATTCTACAATAAAATTCCGAATAACAGAATTTTAGTCATTAAAAATGAGAATTTTGTTGTTGTTATTTAATACAACGATTGTCATATCACACACACACACACGAGAAAAACTGTCAGAACCAGAATTCGTGTGAACCAACAGAATTGATACAGAATATAATAAGTTTTTTTTCTTTTACTTTATTGCAATATTTATTTGCATTTTTTCTATCTTCATTAATTTTAATATAAATAAAAAAATGAAAAATAACTAAATAAATAAATAAATACCGGGTGTGTTTTTGCTTCCGTTCTTATCTTTTTTTTCTCAAATTCTTATTATCATCCAAATAATTTGCATATTTTCGGTGGTGAACAAACTGCAAACTCCAAAAAACCAAGAAAAGAAAAGAAAACAAACAAAAACCGACAAAGATACATATTTTATATTTTTAATAACCAGGGAAAAAAACCAATCATCATCATCATCATTTGAAGATATGACATTCACACACACACACGCACACAGTGTGAAAAGAATTAGTTTTTCAAACATCCATGAAAATGGAAAATATCATAATAATAATAATTATCATAAATGAAATTTTCTTTTTCCTTTCCTAAATGTAGGAATATATTAACCAAAAAAAAGATGAAAAGAAATATTTGAAAATATACATTTTCAAATGAAACGAAAAAAATGTTCCAGTTTGTAAAGCAATGGATAAAGATGGTAAAGAATATTCTTTACAATTCTTTTGTCATCATCGAACCATTGTTTCCAAATAACATTTTTACTAATAATTCTGTTGAATGAATGAAAATGTAAATTTCGCTTGTTTGGTTAGCTGGTTGGTTATCTCTCTATTTTTTTGTGTTATTCTTACCAGATGTAAAATTTGAAAAAAAAGGAAAAAAAATGAATTTTTTGTTTCTGCTACAATGTTTTCTTGTTTAATTATTCCTGTTAATGATGATGATGAACATCTTTGAACGAAGAAGAATAATATACATTCGAGTATTTATTGATTTTTCAAAAAAAATTTCTATTTTGATTTGTTGAAAATCAATATTTAAAATAGAAAAATTTATTGATTTTTCCGTTTGTTTGCTGTTACAAAAACATGAAACAATCGTCAGTATCATAATTAGTTATCATGATTTGAATTTATTCATCCACTATGAATTTTTTTTCTTTTTTTTTGAAAATTGAATTGTAAAATTTTTTGAAAAAAATCGATTTTGCCCCGTTGAAATTCTGTTGAAAATAAAACATCGTTGATATTGTTCGTTTGACATTTCAACATTCATTGAATGAGTTGTGCGCACAATTTGAAATGCGCACATTTTTAGGAAAACAAAATTGCATTGCAGTAAAGATAACATTTTTTTTTTTTGAAAAAATTTTCGATCAACATCATGCAAATCGCTATTAGTAAAAAAAATAAATGATAAGAATTATTGTGCAACGACGAATGTAAAGAATATAAATTTTTTTTTCGAAAATCGCTATCTTTATCGCGTTCCTACCCTACCGGATTCGATTGAATTTTGTGATTTTTTTTTATTATTCAAAATTTTGTTTGTTTTGTCGTTCTTGGAAAGTAAAATTCAAATTTTAGATCCACGATTTTGTTGTTGTTGCTTTGTTTGTCTGTTAGCAAAATATATTCAGAGAAAAAAACGAAACATTATTCACCATCATCATCATTTTCAGACAAAAAAAAACGAAAACAAAAAATCAGTTCGTTTATCGTTCGATAAACGAAGAATAGAATTGGCAAAATGGATCAATGTTTTTCTTGGCAATTTTGTTTTCCTTTCTCTCTCTTTCTATTTACCCAATTTGCCGCCTGAATATTATCGATTTTGTAATCATCCAAACAAAAACAAAAACTTTAATTTCGCATTTAGTTTTTTTTTTGAATCAGGGAATCAGTAAACAAAAAGAAGAAAATCCAGGAAAAAGCAATGGCACAATTAATTTGAATAGAACAACTATTTAAACAGTGATGTTAAAATAGAATCAAAAATAAAATTATGCTGGCTCCCACATCATTGATAAAAAAAATGTTTAAACCACATAAATTAAGCTTCCAGGTAAACCTGTCTACCTGTGCTAGAAAATTCAATTTTCGGCATTTTATTAATTTAGTTATTATAAACAACAACGTTAATCAAAAAATCTAATCAAAAAAAATTTTTAGCTTGGGAAATTGAAATGCAAAAAGAATTTTATTCTGCCAGAATCACATTGTTACATAATCAGATGAACCCACTTTCTTGATTCTATTTTCGCTCCAATTATTCTCTGGGTTTTTTTCTCAATTCATTATGCATCATCATAATCATTAATCGGGCACGAATTTGATTCATTCATTTTTTTTTCATTATTATTCAATTGAATGTTAATATTTTCCCAAAACCATAGCAAAAAAATGATGATAAAATTGAATCATCATTATGAATTTTCACGATGCTTTTTCTCTTGGTTGTAAAATTGAATAATATCCGTCATCATCATCATTATGATTATGACCCATATTATTAAATCACATGGAATGTTTGTTTGTTGTTGTTGTTGTGGTTTATTTTTTTTTCTACACAATTATAATGAATGGTTTTTTCCCTGTGTGTGCTGCCGATCGGTTTATCATTATCATCATCATCATGGTTGAATAGGAAAAAAATCCAGGTCAATTTTGAATTTTTTTCTGTCTGTCTTGGATGTTATTCGAGTCGAAATAGTTTTCAACCAGTTCCCAATACGGTTTCGGTTTCTTTGAAAAATAGTCTATTTTGACCCAAATTGTTTTTTTTTGGAATCCGGAAATATTAGAAAAAAAAAGAAAAATTTTTATATGATCGAGTGGTCGCTTGAGACAAATTCACTATTCAGTTAGTCAGTCAGCCAAACAATCATTTATATTTATTTGAATCAACCAACAAAAAAACTGAAACGATTCTAGAGACTATTATTGAAACAAAAACCAAACGAAAAAAAGAAAATTCTGAAAATTGAATGAAACTGAAACGATCAAAACATATAAAGATCATGTTGATGATGATGTTTGAGGGTTGGCTGATGATTGTGGCTGGTATAGTAACTACGATGCTTTTGCTCAAACGAAACAGAATAATAATAATTTTTCCCAAATGTACATTCTTTTGCGAAATCCCCCCAGAATCAAGAATTTTTTTTTGCAAAAACAAACAAACTAAAGACTAGGTTTTTGACTTCTTAATGGATTTTTCTTCTTGATTGTTGTTGTTTTGTTTTGTTGGTTTTTTGTTGGTTGTATTTTTTTGGTGAATAAAAAACAACAGCAGAAAAGATCAAAAACATAAAACATAATGTATGTTTTCAATTTATTGATTATGTAAAGCTCACTCGTTTCTTTGTTTTTTACGACAATCAACATTTTGAATAACAAAACACAAAAAAAATCTCAAAAATCATAATCATTATCAAATATTAAAAAAAACAATATTCTGTGTACGAAAAAATGAAATAAAATATATTTAATTTTCTTCAAATGAAAAGAATATTCTTTATTCGACTGAGGAAAAATTAGAAAATGAAAAAATTCAATTTTCTTAAAAAAAAAATCATTTTTTTCTTTGTTATGATTATGATGATTGCAAGATTGTTTCCTCTTTCAAGCTCCACAACAAAGATTGTTATTATTATTTTCGGTATGCCAAAAAAATCTATATACATTGTGTATTTTGAAGGGAAAATGAGGTGAGGTGGGCAAAAAGAAGAACGAAAGAAAAATTGCACATTTTTTCATTTTCAATTTAACTCTTTGTTGCCATAATAATAATGATTGTAATATGCGTGTGTATGTATGTTTTGATGATGATTATGACAATGATCATCATATAGGATGCTTTAAAACATTATTATTATATGGCGCCCAATGTGTAAATCTCTTTACTTTTTTTCAAATGAATTTTTTTCTAAGAACCCGTTCATAAATACCAGTACCGAAAAGAATTTCTAATTTGATTTTTTTGTATTTTTTTTCTCATAGATTCCGGACAATCATCAATACAAAATGGTGGTGGTGGTAATATAAATAGTGATTCTTCGACAACCGATTCATCTGATCGTTGGCATACTGTATCTGCGTATGTTGGTTCAGAATTATCAATACCATGTGCTATCGATGTTAGTGGTTGTGGACGTATATATTTTATTACATGGACTAAAAATATTTCCTCATCACCATCACCATTATCTTCATCAGATAATTTAATGTCCAATACAATGGCAAATAGTGATCATGATTCATCTCAAGAAATTTCTTCTTCCTCATCATTAACAGTGTCAACTTCTTCACCGCCACCACCATCGTCATTATCATCATCATCATCAACAAAATCTGGGGAATGGCAACGTGTTTTCATACATTCAGATACATTTGAACGTGTTCTAGGTGATCTGGAACAATTTGGTCCAAAAAATCGTGTTGAATTTGGACCAAAAAATTTATCTGAAACAAATTTTGCTCATTTAACATTAAAAATGGTTGTACCTGAAGATGATGGTCTTTATAAATGTGATGTTACATATGTTACACCACATACAAATGGAAAGTGTCCTTCACTAACCTATATTCGTGTACAAACACTTGGTAAGTTTTCTTTTTTCCCCATAAATATCGATGAATTTTTTCATTTGTTCTTGATTCCAATATAATCAAATTATAATTGATTCTTTTTTTGTGATAAACAGAAAAACACTAGATTCTTCCATATTAAAGCCATAATAAATCTTAGTTATGATTTTTGTAAATCAGGATAAATGTTTGATTTTTTTTCTCTTAGTTTTTAGTTTCGGGTTGAGACATGAAAATAAACATTTTATTAGTATTTTTTTGGTGAAAACTTTCAAAGAAAGTAATCCTTTTTCGGTTCACTCTTTCTTCTTGTCGATTCTTTATATATAAAATTCTCTATTTGAAAGTTGATCGAAAATCGACCCGATTCTGTTTTTTTCGCTTTTCCTCAAAAATAAAAATAACCCATAATAAATATAGAAAACTGGAATTTCTCTCTGCCACTTTCTTTCCTCAATAATCGATAGGATTGCCATTTTTTTCAATTTTAGAGCAAAAGAAATATTAAAGAAAATCTACTTCCGATTCGATTGTAACAATAATAATAATAATGTTGTCCACAATGTTTGTTACACACATTCAAAACACAATGAAAAAAAGATAAACATTAATAGTGGTGGTAGTTGTAATAATTTTCTATCGGATTATTATTATTTATTATTATTATTTAGTTCGTTTTTCATCGTTGTTTTGATTTGATGAAGAAAATAGAAAAATCAATTTTCAAATATCAAATCAAAAATAGAAAAAAAAATTCGCTCATTTCGAAACACCCTGTTTTGTTAATGTATTTTCTGTGTTTCCAATGTTGTTGTTGGTGGTGGAAATGGTGGGGTATATTCATAATGATTTTTTTCGGTTGTTGTTGTTGTTGTTTTTCCTTTCTTTTATCGTCATTGTTTTTTTCATGTCGATTTTCTCCGAATAAAATCTTTATTCATTCATTTTTGGGTTATAATTTCTAGTTGGTTGAGATTCAATTTCGATTTGTTATGAAGAAATCATTGAATGGAAATCAAATAAAAGACGCCCATATATAATAATAAGATTTTTATTCTTCTTCTTCTGGTTACTCCATAAGTAAATGAAAAAGAAAAAAAATCGATTGTAAGATGAAAGGGCGGTGGTGGTGGTGGTGGAAGGAAAGTAGTATGGATTTTTTTCTCACTTACTTCACTTTATTTTACTTGGATGATGAAAACGATCATCAATGATCGAATCGGGAAAACATCATCATCGATGGTGAAAAGCTAAAGAGAACAATAAGAAAATCCAAAGAGAGGGAATCTAGCCAAAAAAATAAAAACTCAACCAGAATAGAATAGAAGAAAAGATTCTTTTCTTTTCTTTAAACGATCATCAATCACTCTTCAACGCCAAAATAATAATAATAATGACAGTGTTTATACGTTTCAAGTATATTTTTGTTATTCTGGATTGGGAAGCAGAATAACAATAGAATTTCTTCGATTCTTCGCAAATAAATCGAATTTTCAGGAAAGAAAATTTCATTGTGGATATCATCATCATCATCATCATTGGGAGAAAACCGAATTACCACCACTATAACACCAACATTCACTGTATGGCAGGACATAACATCCTTTTTTTGCTGTTGTTCATGAATATTGGATGTTTTATGTAACACAGTTGTTGTTGTTGTTTTGGTTGAATGAATGGCGTGAACAGCAACAACAACGTAAAATGTTCCAAGTTTTTTTCTGGATCGATATTTTTGCTAGGGATTCTGATTGAGTGTTTCAACAACAACAACAACAATCGAAATGAAATGAAATGGCTAACATACAATTGTGATTTAGAGAAAACGAAAACAAAGTGAAACAATATTTTTTCATAGCGAAATTCGAAAACAACAACATGATTGGTGTGGGTGTTTTTTCTGGATTTGCAAACTTGCATTTATGCAATTCCATCAGAAAAATAAACATAAATCCAGTATATTCAACTTTGTTTTTGAAAATGTTTTTCAATCAATAATTTATTATCACCAAAGCTAAAAACAGGATCGATTTTTGTTTGTTTTCAAATGTAAAATTTACATTTATTTTATTTTTTGTTGGAAAATGTCTGAACCAAACCATTCCATTTGGTGGCAATATGATGTTATTTTAGCCAAACTGAAAAAAATCTAGTAAATTTACTTTGATTTATGAATTGACAATCAAATGAAATAAGTTGAACAACATTAAATTCACAGAAAATTTTTCTGTTTTTGGTCATCCGAAAAATATTATTTTCTTTTGGCTTTCACAAGAAAGAGTGAAAATTGCAAAAGATTCTTTTTTGGAAACAAATTGAAGTGAACACCAGAGTGGATGATATACATTATAAATCTTCTTTTGTTGTTGTTGTTTGAAAAACAAAAAGTTTCTCAAAAATTCTAAAGATTTCTTGTTGTTGTGAAAGCAATAATAACGAAGAAAACTGACATTTTCTTTATCATTTCATTTCGTTTGGATAATCCTCGTTTGATGTATGGCTCGCTTTTCTTGAATCTTATTTCTTTCAATTTCTTATTTTTTGGTTGCACACAAAAAAACTAGCCATTCTTAATGGATCATCATCATCATTGTCATAATCGGACAAATAAACCGATTTTATCCAATTTTGTCTTCGAGAAAAAAACCCTTACATTTTTCGGACAGCAGCAACAAAATCAGCTTACGTTAGCCGAAAAAATAACGGTTTCATTTTTTCATGTTCAGATTTTTTTCCTTCATCGTTGTTGTTTGGATGAAAAAACAAGAAAAATTTGTAACAAAAAAATTCCAATAACAACAACAACAACAACCAACGCGAAAAAATGGAACGAAAACATTAATATTAAACCAATGGGATTAGTTGATGTCGATGATGATATGGCGATTTATTTGCTTTCTTGTTGTTGTTGTTGTTTTCGTTATGTAATATTTTTCGTTTCTTTGATGATAATAATAATTCTTATAGTTTCTTTAAGTGTTTTTTCTTCTTTTTCCTTCCTTCTTCATACGATATAAATATTAAGAATGTAATCTATTTGATTTGAATGAATGAATGAATGATCATTTATATCATTGAATTCTTCGATTTTTCGATTGTGTCTTTTCTTTTCTTTTATTATTATTATTATTGACCAATCGATATTTGATTATGATCATCATCATCATCATTTTACGAAATGTGTGTAATATCAATATGATGATCATCATCATCAATTTCAATCACAATGTAGATGCTTATATTGGTATCTTGTTGTTTTCTCTCTCCCTCTCTCCATGTACACTCTACACAAAGATTATTATTGTCTTTGCTTGTTGTTGTTGAATTTGTTAATATCCATCTCCAAACATGAGCAAGATGATAATGATTCGTATCATTGATCATCTAATGTTTTATATTAGAAGTGTATTTGGTAGGTTTTTTTTTGTTTTTGTGATGAACAAAAAACAAAGCAAAAAAATTTTTGTCAAGATTTTTGTTTTTCTTCGTTTTTTTCATTCCATGTTCAATCAATCGAGTGAACATTATCGACATTGATTTTTTCTTTTAGTTGTTGTTGTTGTCAATCGATGATTGCATCCAAAAAAACAAGAATTCCATTGCAATGCAATGTGTTTTCTGTTTTGGTATATGTTTATTGGATGCAAAACAAAAACAAAATTCGATTCAATTCGATTTGAAGTCTTTGGATCGATGAACTATAACCGAATCTAAATGATTTTGTTTTTTTCGAAAGAAATGATCATCATCATTTGATTTACAGACAAGAAAATTTTTCAAGTTTTTATTTCAAATTACTGTCCAAAAAAGAAGAAGAAGTAACGAAAACTGATCCACCAAAGAATAAGAAGAAAAGAATTCAAAATGATAATACATGGGGTAAACTAACCAATTCTGATCGTGTGTGTGTGTGTGGTTTTTGTCTCTTCTATTCTATTTCCATTAAAATAAATCGACAAATATCCACTCGATATATCTTTATTTATCTCAGACGAAGAAGAAGAAGAATAAGTAGAAAAATTCCCAATTCTTCTTCTTCAACCGCATTTATCTTATCGAATGGAATGTCTTTGCAAAATTATTGTTGTTGATCGTTCGTTTGGGTTTTTCTTTGAACATTTTCGCCCACTTTCTTACCAAATGAATGATTTTTTTTCAATTTCAAAATAAAGATTTATAGCCAAAAAGAATAAAAACCCGGAATGATAATGATAATAATGATGATGACCATTGACATTCAATGATCAGCACAAAACAAAAAATTGAATTGAATTTGGATCCCCAAAAAATTGAAAAAAATTCTAAATGTAAATATTTGACCAAAGTTTTTTACAGAAAAAAAAGAAAATTCCAGTTTTTGAATCCATTTATGATGATGATTTATTACTTGATTTCATTCCCCTCTCACACTCTTCTTTTTTTCGATTTAACGTATAACTTTTCGCTGTTGTTGTTGACTTGTTGTTGTTGTTGCTTATTGTTTTCAAAGGCCATCTCATTTTCGTTATTTATTCATTTTAAATTCAGCAAAAAAAAGAATAAAATTCCAAAGATTCTTATTCACTGGTTCGGTTTTGCAATATATATTTCTCTCTCACTATATGCACAATATGCTTATGTAATATATTTTGGTAGACATCATTAATCATTCATCTTTCAATGCGCGCATTTATTGTCTTTGTATTTCGTTTTTGACTTTTATTTTTTTATCCTTCCCTTCGTTGAATGAATGAAAATTTATAAAGCTTTTGTTTGGACCGGCAATATTTTTTTATTTTAAAATAAAATTTATTTGACAACTTTTGAACCAAAACAATTGAAATCAACTAAGAAATGAAATAGTGGAATGGTGAGGAAACTTTTTTAAAAAAAAACTTGAAAAATCAATTTTTCAAAATTCATTTTTTTCTCCAAAAAATTCTTCGAAGAACCAGAAAATCAAAAAGTTTAAACCATCTTATGTCACCTTTTTTGTTGCTATGTTTGTTTCATTATGGCCATCATCATTCATTCAAATTTCTTCTTCTAAGAATGAAATAAAGTTAATTCCCTTAACGCACACACAATATTTTGTCATCATTATGATCATTTTGCATCCTCGCTTGCATTGTCGAACCGAAAAAAAAGAAACTGATGAAAACTGGTGTCGCCTAACGATCATCATCATTTGATTTTGCATATCATCATCATCGAATAGGATTTTGTTTTGTTTTCTTCGAAAACAAAACACAAAATTTGCATGTTATTTTCATTCAACCAAAGTTTGATTGGATGTGTTTTTTCCATTCAGCAACGACAAAAATGATGATAACAAAACAAAAGCAGAAAAAAATCATTCTTGATTCTGAATTCTTGAATAAAGAATATATCAAAATGTGAACATACAACGTTCACGTCATTTCTTTTTTTTTCTTTCTCGGAAGTTTATTATTGAAATTATTATTGTCGTCGTTCGTTACTTTGTCGGTTGGTTGTTATTACTTGAAAATTCTGTGTGTGTGTGTGTGTTTTTCTGTCAAACGTATGCAATGTGATGTGAAACAACGAAAACGAAAAAAAACAACCAGCACCAGATACAGCAGCAGCAGCTGTTTTAAGTAGCTGTTTTTTTATTGATAATATTTAAGCGGGATACCCTTTTGTTGTTGTTATTCTTGAGTTTCTGAAATGAATTCTTGATATTAGTTTTTTTTTAGTTTTGTTTCATTTTCATTCCGGTTCACACTTAAACATTATTATTATCAATGTTGTTATTTTTGTTGATAACATCTATGTTTATGCGAAGAAAATATTGTTTTTTTACTCGTTTACTTTTCTTTCCTAAAGAATATTTTCTTGGAATATATATAGAATTTGTTCAAAAAAAAATGTAGAGACCTTTTGATTGAATCGGTTCGAGTTTTGTTTCTTGTTTGCAGCAGAATATTCTGCTATGCCGTGTGTATGAGTGTTAATATGGTAAAAGCAAGTGGCACTTTTTTTCAATTTTCAATTGAAATTTTTATTTCATTTCATTTTCTCCATAACAAACTTACAAACTTGTTAAAATTTGATGTTTGTTTGTTTGGGATTTCGGTCGGTCGTTCGGATCGATCGACGATGATGATAATGTTAAGTAATAAAAAAACTTTTTTCTTTCGACACTTTTTCTGTTCATTTTGATGATGATGATATCATTTTTGCTTGAGAATTGATGATAATGATGATCACTATGTTTATGATGAAGACATTTTTTTTTTGTTCCGCCAAACACTATTATTATATTTTTTTTGTTGTTGTTTAACAATGTTTGTATCGTTTCGTTCAAGTGGCCTTATAAGAGAAGTTTTCTTGAGAAAATAAAGAAAAAATTCAATTTTCAATCGTCGGATAATAATATGATGTGTTTTATCTGGCTGTAATAACCCGTTTTTCCCCTTGTGTTTCTCATATCTAATTATCTAATTTTGAAATTTTTTTGTTTTGTTTTTCAATAGTAAAACCAAGCCCGCCAATAATACGTATAAATGGAAAATCATTGATTGAATATCGTATGATGGATTCAATCGATAATTCGGATGATAATCATCATTATTCAAAACAAGATTATTCATCAAGTGCCAAATCATCACCATCAATTATCGATCTAGACCGATATCGACAATTTGGTCCATTTGAAGAAGGTTCAACAATTGTATTTGAATGTTCAACATTCGGTGGACGACCAATGCCTGAATTACGTTGGTTTAATGGTTCTAGGCCATTACGTTCAAAAATTTCTGTAATCGATCTGCAACAACAACATCAAGATCAACAACAACAGCAACAACAAGATTCATCATCCATGGATTCAATGGATCCAGATCTAATAATGTTAAATCAACCAGGTGATGCAAGACGTAAAGTAATAGCAACAACAAGAATTATTGCCAGTAGATTTGATTTGGGTGCCAAATTTGAATGTCGTGTTTTATGGAATAATAGCCAATATGATGATAATAATGATAATGATGGTGGTGGTGATGGATTCATACAGCAAAACAATGCCTCATTACTTAACGATTGGCTATTGTTAGATATTCAAGTACGGCCATTATCGATTCGTGTTGATTCACCAAGATCACCAGTTGTATCAGGTGAAACTGTCCTTTTACGTTGTACGGTTGATGGTGCAAGACCAGCAGCAAATATTACCTGGTATAATCGTTCCGAAGTTGTTCAAGCTGAACCATTACCAACATTTAACCATTTGACAATGTCAACAACAACAACAAATAGACAATCATCATCATCAGATAATAAAATTACCGGTCCATTAATCGGTCCAAATCAACCGGTTCGTACCCGGATTACAATCGAATCAATGACCGATGGTACATTTCGTACAACATCAATATTAGCATTCGTTGCCAGCCGTTCCGATCATCAAGCAGATTTTTTCTGTAAAGGTTCAAATGAAATTCTAAGAAATCGTAATGAAGTTCCATTGATACAAGGTGTTCAGCTACAAGTTTTATGTAAGTTTTCTTTTTTATCAATATATTTTTTACAATACCATCTATCTGCATGGAGCCAATTATTGTTTTGTTTTGTTTGTGGTTGAATGGAATGTATACCACAAATGACATAATGACATTCCAAACAAACAAACAAAATTTTGGATTCTTTTGGCATGTGGTTTAATCATCATCATCATTATTTCATATGGGACCATAACTTTTGTTTTCATTATGGCTGATGATGACATTTACAAACGACAAAGACAAGACAAAATATTTTCTCTAAATGAAATGATGATGATGGAATCCAATGGAAATTTTTTCGTTTCTCATTTCAGAATACATTCTATTGTTATAAGAATATATTCTGTTCACTCTTTCTCTCTCTCTCTGACTATGAAACCAAGAAAACAAAAATGAATTATGATCTTATGGTCCGGTTATAGTAATGTTAATGTTGTTGTTGTTGATGATTATGATATAAATAAAATTTTTTCAACAACAACAACAACAATATATAATCGGGTATCATATCCGAATAATAATAATAACCGAAGAATGTTTATGACGTGAATGCAATTCATCACTTAGTAGTAGTAGTATGATGTAGTTGTAGTAGAAAATAACTATGATCATTTTAATCGAAAAATAATAATAACCGGACCCTGGGTATGTTTGTTGTTTGGTTGGTTTTGATCACATACCAAACAAAACATACATACTGGACTCGAAGAAGAAGATTGCTTATTTCTTTAAAATGAAAAAAATTTTGAAAAAGTTTTTGGTGATTAATTGGTCATTGGTTTTTGAATTTATTTTTTGTCATTTTTAACACCAATACTTTGCTATCCGAAAAAGAAGAGAAAATTCTTTTCCCATTCATAATGATAACCGATATGATGATGATGATAATAACAATGTCATTTGTCACTAATTTTATATCCATTCACAAATATATCATTATTGTATTATGTAATATCATCCATCCATTATTAAAGCTTTGTGAAAAAAACGACCTAACAACATATATAAGGCAGATGAATTTTTTGTAAAATGGAAATTCCAGAAATCCAAAACAAAAAAAAAATTGCCTTGTTAAATGGATGTTGCATACACACATCATATCACTGGTTTTCTATACAATCCATATAAATAGATAGATATTGTCATTATTATTATTAATAATGATCGATAATGGTTTATATATTGAACATTGTTTGGTTGTTTAGCTGGTTGGATGTTTGGTTATACAATGTACATCATCATCATCATCATCGATAATGAAAATGCTGATGCTAACCACCCCTCCTCCTCTCCATACACCCATCAAACAAACAAACGAGCAAAAAAAATGTAGAATTCTCTTTCTGCAAACGAAAACTTTATAGCATTTTCGTTGCTGTTGCAGGATGTGATTTATGATTTTTTTCTCTCTCTAAATGCATGTTAGCTTGAAAAAATACGAAAAAAAAGTTTGAACAGGGTAAGGGCGGTTAGTGAATAGAAAAACAGAAAAAAATCTTGTCCAAATTTTATTATCATCATTATGATTATGATGATTATTATTATGGCAATGACAATGATGATAATTACATGATTTTAACGATATGACTATATGACCATCATCACTATAAAAACATTACAAGCTATCTATATGGATTATTTTATTCTTGGTTGTCAATGATTTTTGTTCTTGCTATATTCTATATCAAAGTTTTCATTTTTTTCAACAATAAAGTTTCACACGTAACGACCATGTTTGTTTGTTTGATTGAATTTTTTAAAAATTCCGATTGATTGATGAACTCGTGAAAGCCAGAAATTCTGAAATGAAAAAGAAAATTCTTAATTTTATTAGTTTTATTGAAAAGAAAATCCAAAAATTGATTTTTTTTTGTGTTTGTGTGTGTTTCTGGGATGATATCATTATCATCATCATCATTTGGATAGTCCATTCGGATGTTCAAGAGAGAAGGGAAACCAAACAAACAAGAAAAAAATTGAATCAAATTTCACTTACAAACAAAAAACAAAATCATCAATCTTTTCAATTAAATAGTCGCTGCTTTTTTTCAGGGTAATCATCATCATCATTACTATCACTATAGAATAAAAATTCATTCAATATGGATTCTTTTCACTTGTATGAAATGTCCGAATGCGAATAAATTGTCAGAAATTTTTTCTTTCGTTTCTCTCATTGTGAAATTGCACACATATCACATTTATGACAACAAGAGTGAGAATGAGAAATGAAAAAATCCTCAAACTTGTCAAATCTATCCATCTACATGACCGAATTTCAAGTTTTCATTTTCATATTTTCAAATTTTTGATATGAGAATTTGACATTTGACACCCGAAAACAGAGAGAGAGAGAATATTGGATATGAATATTTCATTTTTGATTGCCATTAAATGAATATCATAACATAAAAATGATAATTAATTAATCAATTACAAGTTAACAATTAGCAACAGAAACAGAAACATTGAAAATGCGAAATGAAAATTCGAATCAAAAACGAAACAAGCAAAAATCATCAACATCAATAATAATGATGATGATTGCCATATTCACATAAATGAATCAAATGAGGGGCCAAAGTTCATTCACTGGATAGGAAAAATAACCCTTTCTTTTTTTTGTTTCTCAGATCATTTTTCTCGATTTTTTTTTCATTTTTGTGACTGTCTGTGAAATGAAATGAATGGATTGCTGCATGAATGACTGAATGTCATCATCACTTTGTCATTATATTCAGCTGTTCAGTTTTCTTTTCTTTCATTGTTTTTTTTCATCACTGGCAAAATCAGTTTTGGGCAGCCCCATTCAACAGCAGCAACAAAAAAAAACTATAATAAAAATGCACACACACAAATACAAAGTATTTTTTTTTGCTGCTGCTGTTTTGAAATTGATGATTGCTCATTTATTATTACTTTTGTTCATCATCATCATTCCCCATGATCATGATGTTGATGTGACGCCCATTTGATTTCATCATATTCATTTCGGTATTGAAATTGTGAAAATTGCAATCATTTCAAGAATCATCATCATCATCGGCATGATTATATTCACTTTGAAAAAACAATATTCTTTCTTTGAATTTTTGGGGACAATATTTTTACCCTATTGATGATGCTTGCTTGCCAAAAAAAAATAATGTGTACGCCTTTTGTTGTATGAATTCACAAAGATGACGCTATTCGTCCATTACTATCGATTTTTTTTCATCCTTCATCCGTCATCAGCAAACAATGTATATCCCCACTTATTATGATGACGATTATCATTTAAATTATTTTCATCATCATCAACAATATGAATAGAAAATGAAATGGATCGGATTGAATTGAATTGAATGCGAATGTGAATGCGAATGAAAAAACGTCAGCACAATGTTACTTTTTTCTCGGCAAAAATATTACATAATACATTAAATTCAATTAGTCATTGATCAATGAAATGAATGAATGAAAATTTCTTCTAATTTCTGAATCGATATCACATCACATATCATAATAATAATAATGGGAAAAAATGTATGCATGAATCGTCAATAGAAGATTCTTTCTTCTTTCATTTCTTATTCAATCTCTATTTACAAATGATGATGATTATGCTTGCCAATCATTTTCAATCTCAGTTTGTTCCATTTTGTAACTCAAAAAATTCATTTGCCAATGTTGTTCCATAGTTTTGAATGAAAAAAAGCAGGGACAACAACAACCAAACAAAACAAAAAAAAAATTAGTCATAGTCAAATGGATTTCGGTATTCAATTCGTTCCATTTGAAACATTGAATATGACAAAAACTGCAAAATGAACGAAAAAAATGGGCGTCTCGAATCAAACATCCCATGGATGTTTGAATGATAGCCACTTGCTTGTTTGCGATGTGAAATGGAAAAACAGAAAAAAAATCAATTTTCATCATCAAAAGACATTCATATAGTTTTTCCATTGATTTTGTTCCATCTAACTGATGTTTCATTTGATGACGATGATAATGACGATAAAACGAATGATGAAAAAACAAGGCTCAGATGCTTAAGAATGAATCATAAATCGTTCAAACACACATATATAGATCGAAAAAAACAATCAGCATCTCCTTTTTTTACTTTGTATATATTTTTCGATCAACTAACGAAGATGAAAAAAAACTACAAAGTTGAAAGTTGAAAGTTTGTATTATTTGACCAAAAAAACTGTTTTTTACTATCATCGTTATCATCATTGTCGTTGTCGAACGAACGAATGAACAAACGAGAGCCAATTAGATTTATTCATCCAAACGATCGAGAGATACAGCCAAAGATATTTACAAATGACATCGTTTTAGCATCGTTTAAACAACAGCAGCAGAATGGAAAAAAAGTTTTTCATTCCAAACACAATGTGAATGAAAACTTTTTTCTTTTTTCGGTTTGGTGGTTGCAACAAAACAAAACACAACCCTATTTACTTTACTTATTTTACTTTTGGTGAATGAAAGTGAAAAAAAACTGAATGACAAATCCATTTAAAAGGGACACCATTGAATTGCCCAATGGATCATTCTAGTCGATTTTCAGTTATTTCGGTTTTTTTTCGGATTCGCAGTAGCAGAAAAAAAGATCCATTAATATCACCCTAAGTGATCAGTTTTGGATTTTTTCTCTTTTCGGTTGCTGCTATACTTTTTTTTCAGGGTTTGTTGTTTTTCCATACACACACAACTGTGTGTATTGTCACATTCTTCGTTATATAAATATATTCGGTTAGCATCATTTAAAAATATGATATCAAATCAAATTAGTATTGTTGAATGATTTTGTTGTTGTTGTTCTTCTCTGTTTGTGGATTCTGTGGAATTGTCCATTTATATCATATATTTGACAAAAAAAAACATTTGAAAATTGGACTTTTATTTTCTTCTTCTTATTCGTCATTGAGTTTGGTTCGGTTCGTTTTTGGTTTGATTTGATTTAAATGTGAATTTTTTTTTCTTTTTCGAAATGAAAAATA